TCAAAAAACAGGTACCACGTAGAAGAAGATGCGGTACTATATTGGCTAAAACAGGTACTATTTTAAGAATCGTAATTTCTCTAATCCTTCATGTCTATCATGACACGTGGATCATTCACGCGTGATTTGGATGAAAAATAGTGGAAGTTCAAACATATAGATAGAATTTGGAGTAGTCATGTATGATGATTCTATGAGATGAAAGTATGTCATTCAATGAAACGAAGTGTATTTGTAGTGATTTCTCATTAGTGTGTTGAGTTTGTGACCAATTTGCTATTTAACTTAATTAAACACGTTATAAATCTCATAGAAAATAATGTGAGAGTGATTATTGGTCATATAAACATCATTTGAGACCGAAATTTTGTGTTTTATTATGTTTTTCGGAGTTGGTACTAAAGACCCGATATCTGGTACTACAACACCGAAAGCTGGTACTATCTTACTCCAGGTCTGGTACCATTTATTGCAAATATTGACCACAATTGAATAATCTATTTTTGCTGACCAAAAGTTGGTACTAATTCATCAATAACTGGTGTTGCGAAGAAGAAAACGTGATATTATTTGCGTCAAAACAGGTACTATTTTACAAAAATTATTTTTTTTTTACGTTCGTCGGAGTTTGTACTGAAGATCCGATATCTGGTACTAGAACACCATAATTGCAGTATTATCTTACTCTAGGTCTGGTACTAATATTGCAAATGTTGACGAAATTGGGAGTAATCCATTTTTTGTTCTTTCTACAAAGTAGGTACTAATTCATCAATAACTGGTACTACATAGAAGAAGGAGTGGTATTATTTGTTGAAAAACTTGTACCATTTTACGAGATTCGTTTTTTTTTTTTTTTTTTTGTTCGTCGGAGTTGGTTAAAAAATATTAATTAATATAGGTAGAATTATTAATTAATATACTACACGGATCGTTCACGCCTGATTTGGTTGAAAAATAGTGGAACTTAAAACATATAGGTAGAATTTGAAGTAATCCATTTTTTGTTGTTTCTACAAAGTAGGTACTAATTGATCAATAACTAGTACTTAATGACCGTTTTATGACTAAACTCAATTAAAAATATTTTAAATCTCATACAAACTAATGTGAGAGTGATTATGGGTCGTATAAACATTATTTTCGACTAAAATTAGGTGTTTTTGTGTGTTCATTACAAGTGGTACTAAAAGCCCGATATCTGGTACTGAAACACCGGAAGCTAGTAATTTCTTACTCTAGGTCTGGTACAATTATTGCAAATGTGGACCAAAGTTGAAGTAATCCATTTTTTGTTCTTTCTACAAAGTATGTACTAATTCATTAAGAACTAGTACTGCATAGAAGAAGTGGTATTATTATAGGTAAAACTAGTACCAATTTACAAAGCATGTATTGAAAACTTGAAAAATGAGTATTAATATCTCATAATGTTGGTACTTATGTGAAGAAAAACTTGTTTCAGTTTAAAAAACATAAAAAATCATATCATTTTTTTCCTTTCTACAAAAAGTAGGTACTAAATACGAGAAAAGAGTATTAATAGTGCATAAAGTTGGTATAGAATTTAAGAAAAAATAATACTAGTTTACACAAAATCACAAAAGACCAAACATCCACATTGTCCACAAAATAAAAAAGACCATCATCCATAAAACCAAAACATCCACATTGTCCACAAAATAAAAAACCCCATCATCCATAAAACCAAAACATCCACATTGTCTACAAAATTAACAATCCCATCATCCATAAACCATCATCCATAAACCATCATCCAAACATTCGACACCTATTGTTCTAAGACAAAAGCCAAACCCGTCAACATAAACCATCATCCACAACATACACCAAAAAACCACATTCAAACATATTGTTCAAAACACAAGCCAAACATTGCCAACATGGAGGATTTCTCAAGATGCGAGCTGCCATGTGTGCTCGATAGCCATCACATTCTGTTCCCTCACCTTTGATCTGAATTTTCAATCACTATTAAATGAATTTTGTGTGCAGAACTTATATTTCCCTTTCATGAATATAAATCACTACCATTAAAAAAGAAAAAAAACATTTGAAAAATTGATATGCATTCAAATGTGTATTATAGTATACTACTACAACACTAAAACCCCATATAAGTTTCGGTTACCGACTGCAACTCGGTTCTACATTGTGGTGTTACCGAAATGTTCGGTTCCTTCAGAAAACCCAAGTCCCAACCTTGTAGTAGGTAGTTAATTCAGAGCATAATTTACAGAAAGCCGAATAGTCCTAACTAAAGCAAGTACACTCATTAAGTAAAAGTCCACAAAACCCATGCCTATCAAGATTTTTGTGTCAAATCCATATATGTCATGTCTTCTACCTTGTGTCTAATTATTTTTTTATGATACAGTACACAATCTACCACATCAATGTTTACTAAAAATGTAACAGACTAGGAAAAAGATTCATAATCATTAGACATGTAAAAACGGGCCGACGTCCGCAGCCCGCCGAAACTCGATGTTTGGCGGGGTGGGGCTGGCTACTGAAGGCAGGCCCGGCCCACTCCCGCCACGGGCTGCGGGCTTGGCGGGCTGGCCTGCCTGCCCAATATATTTTCTTAAAAAAGAAAAAAGAAAAAAACCCACACATACTGAATCACAACACACACAAGATCAAAAGTGAAAGACCTGCGCACTGCCCCAATTCGTCCGCACAGAAAAAGGGCCTCAATTTCGGAGCAAACAAGAAATCAAAATTGGTAAACAATTTTTTTGTTCTTTTGTTTTCCTCAACAACCTTGATCAATCTGTTTGAATCTCATTTGGGTTTTGTAAGAGAAAAAAGTTGAGACAGACGAAAAACAATTATGCACAGAATGAATGAAAACGTCGTCACTTTGTGCGTGACCATAAAAAGTAGAGACATGTGGCCAGCAGAAAAAAGCTCCATGGGTTTTTCACAGAACAAGCAAATGCAGATGCGGAAAAAATAATTGTGCTTTCAGAGGTCGTAAATTCAATTAATCGAGCAAATAAATAGGAAATTGCTTTGAAGATTTCTCAAAACCCAAAATAACCATAATGCGACAGATAGAAAGGGAAAAGCATAGAGTAATCCTAAAAATCCTCTAACTCAAATTTTTAAAGAAACCTAATTCAATAATATACCAAAATAAAAAAAAAATGATGAACCCTAGACAAGCAAAGAGCCCTAAATTATGAATAAATTTTGTAATTTGTGAAATGTAAGTCAAATACGAAGTTCATTATCATCAATCAAATCCCAAATTTTGAAAAATTTTGAATTCAAGAAAACAGAAATCAAAATTTTGTAAAAAAAAAAACCCCCAAAATTGAAATTATAAAAATCTTACCTTGTTTAAGAGACGAACATAGACGGAAAAAGAGAGGTAGAGAGACGAACGACGGCGAAAAAAAGAGAGAGAGACGAAAGGCAATGGAAATTCACAGAGAGAGACGGCGATGGAAATTGAGAGAGAGACGGGAAAATGAGAGCAGGCTGAAATTTTTTCTAATTTTCTATGATTTTTTTAATAAAAATAAATGAATAATAATAACAGTAGTATATATATGGAGAGTGATTTAGAAAGAAATATTAGATATAGGGAGTGCAGAAAAAGTAAAAAAGAAGTGAGGACTGACAAGGAAATTGATTAAGACATCTATTACTATATAATACGGAGAAGAAAAATTATTTGAACAATCCGAAAAAAATCATTTCGTTTTCCCGCTTCAATATAGTGCTTTTCCCGCTTCTTCAATTTGTAAAATTTTTTTTGAATTTTTCCAGCCCATGCAATTAGGTAACCAATCAAATCGAATCTTTTAGCATTCAATTTGGTAAGGTGTTCCGATTTTAGCAATCAAATCCGATTTCACTTCCTTTTTTTATGCCAATCAATCCGATTTTTTTGGTTGTTTCAAAATTTGTTAGATTTATATTTTTATTTTATTAATCTATCATTATATAAAAAGAATAACTTTCTTACAAATTTGGAAAATTTTTTCCGCCAAAATGATTAAATATATCTTGCATATAGTAATTGTTGGACAAATCTGAATAGGCAAAAAAATCGGCTCATTAATTGTGTAAAGATTTGTTTTTTTTTTTCCTGTTTTTAGTTTATCAAAACCGTTATTTGACAATAAATATTTGTTTTTCTTTTTTCTTATTTTTAGTATAAATCTACACGAGCTTATCTCTTCTGTTACAAATTTCATTGCATACGTGTTTAAAAAATCTTATCTCTTATCTATACAAATTTGAAAACATAAATAAAATAGAAACCAATTCTTAATTACTACTAAAAATCCATTATCTTTAAAAAGAAAAAATAAAATAAAATAGAAACCAATTCATAATTACTACTAGAAATCCATTATCTACTTTAAGAAGCTAATTTTCATCGGTCTAATTACTAATATTTTTACAAATATTATAAGCTAACCATACAAAAAAGTATAATAATAATTGTAATCAAATTTTTTTATATTCTCTTATACAAAATAATTTTACATTGTTTGACCCCGAATGTTTATTTATAACTATTAAGTATTGTTTATCCTCCTCTTTAATTTATAATTATTTTTTTCTTCCTCTTTTTAAATAAGATCGATAGTAATTTCCACTTCCGCCATTGAGTGACTCAAACTCGAGGTCTATTTATAATATTGTTCCCGTGCATCGCACGGGGTACACACTAGTTAGAGATTTATCTTGAATTTGCCGTAAATATAATACATACAGCCATATAAGAATGTGCCAACAATTTAATTGGCAAAAATTTGTCCTATTTCCTGGGAGTTTATAACATATTTTATTTATTCACATTTTGATAGCTTTTATCATCCCATTTTTTTGTATAAAATTATTATATCTTTCACGTCACGCCATTGATTTATCCCCACCGTACTCTCTCGTGACATTTCTTTTCGGTTTAAATATTTCCAACCCCAAACAAAATGAGAATTAACAAATAGACCCTAAAAGTCAAAATAAGATCGTAATTGTAATTCTTTTTCCTCTCTCACGCACCGCTGTTTTTTTCGTCACTCTCTTTTCTTGTCCTGTCTTTTCTGCAGTTCAAGTATTATTAATAATTATACGAGGATTTTGGAATTTCAGCTGCCCGTATGAGGATTAGAAGAGGTAAGTAAAGATTGAATGTAAAGTTTCTATTTTTTTTTTCCGTTGTAGAAATTATTGCTGAGTTTTCGTTTTCTGTTTTGTGTTTTTTGGTGGATCAAATGAAATTCCTTGACGGGTAAGAAAAAAAAAACTGAATGTAAATTAAAGCTAAGGTTCGCGTTTTGAGGAAGGATAATAGCGTTGTAGGGGTAAGAGCTTTTGATTGAGATCTAATGGTTTGCTATTTAACCAAACCTTTATACTTTCAGTTTTTATGTCATCTGTATATCTTAAACAGTGAACAAAAAGGTCTGATGGATTGCTTTTTATTAACTGAAAAATGTTTAATCACTAACAATTTGGACTTTTGGTAGGTGTTCGCAATTTGCAAAAGCACACAAAAAAAAAAGAAAAAAAAAAATTAAAAGAGACAATCTNGATCGTTAGCAAACACTCTATTATTCATTGAGCATGTAGTGGATAATTTGTATGATCCTATCAAAATAGGGTGGGTAATATATACAAAGGCAAACCAAGTATAGATGTAAAGATTGAACTCTATATGTTGAGACTCGAAATCCAGTGACCGGTGATACTTGGCATGGTTTTGGATGTTATTAACATGTATTCTTTGTCATCTAAATTTAATATGTTTCCGAATGTGTAATCGAATTCATTAATTGAGTGCCAAATTTGGGTCTTTAATAGTTAATTATTAGATTTTACACTTTGGTTGTGTATCTCTTAAGAAAAGGCTCAACCTGTTCAGTAAATATGCAGCTATAGGCTTCATATGTTGCACGTACCTAAATATTAGCTTGTAGCCCCGTTTTCAGTGATATGATCCATGTGATGTTGAACAGCAATGCAATGGATCCTTTTGGCAGAGAGTGATAAATTTGTTTTTCTTATCTTATTATAGGCATTTATTTGATCAAGTACAAGTTGTCAAGGCACCAAAAATATCAATAATATAAAAGGTTAAACTTAGTATAAACAGTGGAAGAATCCATTAGAATGAACTTTATGTGCCCCCTTTTTGTATCTATGTACATATTATGAATATAATTATTGATTCCAGAGAAAGTTCTCATGCATGAAATGCTGATATTTGCAGCGTAATACCCTGAGTTTGGGTCCATCGAGTGACATTGGGTTCCGACTTACTCCTTCAGAATTATTGAATTGGTGTAATTTTTCAGTTTCAAGGCTTTAATATCGGTATAAGTGTCCAAGAATGGCAGGTGCCAGTCCTAGGACAGACACTTCGACTGATGCCGATACTGAAGATAGGAATTTGAGGGTAATTTTGCGTCTATAATACAATAAGGACCTCTGTTATTTTCCCCTTTTTTTCTTGGTGTCGGTACCCTTTTTCATATTTACACAACACGCACTTCGTTCTTCAATTGGAAAGTTCTTTTGTTTCTTTTTGTAGTACCAAAACAATCAAATGCAGACTGTAGTTGCTTCTGATGGCAGTGATAAGTCCAGAGATCAAAAGGTTTTTCAACTCCTAATTGCTTATACAAGTTCTTTAATTAAATAAAAAAAAAAAGATCTAAAACATATGATCACGACCTCCTGCAGACTCTACGTAGGCTTGCTCAAAACCGTGAAGCTGCAAGAAAGAGCCGCTTGAGAAAAAAGGTAGGTCTTTAACATTTATTTCTTGTACCCTTTATCTACACGTGCCTGTTCACTATCCGTTTACCTCTCATTTTTTCCATTTAATTCTCATATGATATTAATTTTATCACCCATAAGTAGTTTTTAATATTTTCTTATACTCGTTTGTAGTATATTTCTTCTTGGACTTACCTTTTACCTTTTCATGCATTTACAAATGCCTTACATTTTTATTTGAATTTTTTTTATTTTTTATTTTGTTTTTCCGTTTTCCATCTCTGGCATTTAGGCTTATGTTCAACAACTAGAAAGCAGCAGAATGAAATTGACACAACTTGAGCAAGAGCTCCAACGGGCAAGGCAGCAGGTTCTCTTATGTTCTCGCCATAAATAATTTAAAGGGCATAGAACAACTTATTTTAAGTTTTTCTTCTTAACAATTTGGTAAATATGGTTATCTGTGCTGAAGGGGGTATTTATTTCAAGTGCTGGAGACCAAACCCAATCCGTCGGAAATGGTAAGAATTATGTTGGCTCTGTGTATTTAATTTTCATGTATTCCTTGTTTTATTATTCTAACAAGTCCTTTTCTTGGAAGCTTATTTTGTGGTACAATAATATAGAAGAGATGGAAAATAAGATTTTTAACTGGATCTGTAGAAGGAACATTTGAGATGGTAGATACAAAACAAGAAAGCAAGGGGGAAAAGGGAAAAAAAGAACGGATAAAAACGTATATTTAGACTTCTTGAGGTTCTAAAACTAGAAAAAGTTGGAGCACCTAGTGATGGCAATGCCAGAAAGAAAGAAAAGTCAGGCAATTTAAGTTTTTCTCTCATTATTTGAGCTTACTTTTCATGAAATAAGCGCTATAAGCTGGTCTACTGATGAGGCATAAAGAGCTATATATTTTTAGTTTTTTTCCTCAATAGAAAGTTGACTTGACTGGATGTATATGAGGAACACTAGGTAAAGAGGAAATTACATTCTTATTTAGCCAACAATTATTTATAATCTAATTTCTTGGATAGCTGTAGAAGGGCGAGAGTGAACCCAATGGTAATTATGAGACAAAGTTGATTGATTATACTGTCTTGATGAGGCACTATATCTCTCTTTTAACATTAAATGTTCTTTACCTCCATTTTCTACTTGCTCGGCGTTTTGCTTTCTCATGACCACTTTTTCTAATACCTGTGTTTAGCATATTTCCCTGCAATATTTGGTCTTCTTCCCAGCTACAAACACAAGTCCTTCCTTATTAGGGGAAAAAAAAAACGGCTATCTGCGAACAATGCCCCTGGGGCTACACGAAAAAAAAAAAAAAAATATAGTCATCTGGCCCTTGATATTTGTTTTTAATTTACAAATTGTCCCCAAACAAGTTTTCAACAATTCACAGGGGTATTTACACTTATTAAATACAAAATTGAATAATCCATTAGGTTAGATTTGAGTTCCATGTAAACATCCACATAATTTTGTAGGTGCATTGGCTTTTGATGTGGAATACTCACGCTGGCTGGAAGAGCACAATCGGAGGATTAATGAGCTGAGAGGAGCCGTGAGTTCGCATGCAGGGGATGCTGAGCTCCGAATAATAGTTGAGGGAATTTTGTCACAGTATGATGACATCTTTAGGATAAAAGGGGATGCTGCAAAGTCTGACGTCTTTCACATTCTCTCGGGCATGTGGCAAACGCCTGCTGAGAGGTGCTTTCTCTGGCTTGGTGGCTTTCGCTCGTCCGAACTTCTTAAGGTAATAAGTGAATTGATTCATGCCTTTGGAAAATCTCTGAGATTGCAAAGCGAAGGAACTAAGGGCATGCTTGTTTATAAATTATTTCACTCTCATTCAATTCATACTCAAAATCTAATTCAACTTTAACCCAACCCCGCTATCTTTAATATTATTCATATAATTAAATTATACAAACCAGTCATTCTTACACATCACATCAACTTTAATTCACTATTCATCCACTCACATAATTTTAACTACCTATCGTTTCCAATCATTTTCATCATTTTATTTTAAATATTATTTTAATACATTCTTAAAACCCCACTAATAACTAACCATACCACATTTTCCAAAAATCAACTCTAGTTAACCAAAATAACTCATTCTGGACAAATTATTCAGTAAACAAGCGAGCCCTAAGTTTTAGGATATCATCATTGTGTTTTATTAGTTGTTCTGAAATTGCATTTTTGCAGCTTCTTATAAATCACTTAGAGCCGTTGACCGAGCAGCAGCTGTTGGCCATCAATAATTTGCAGCAGACATCTCAACAGGCTGAAGATGCCCTTTCGCAGGGTATGGAGGCTTTGCAGCAATCTTTGGCCGAGACATTAGCCGGTACTCTTAACCCCTCAGGATCTTCCGGAAATGTTGCTAATTACATGGGGCAAATGGCAATGGCTATGGGCAAATTGGGAACTCTCGATGGCTTTATTCGTCAGGTTTATCTTAGGCTCCATCCATCTATCATCAATATGTATGTACTTTAGTGCTAGGGATATATATATAAGAAAAACAAATAAATGTTTGTTTATTGTGAATGAGATTTCCAATTTCTTTATACTTTTGCAGGCTGACAATTTACGACAACAAACTCTTCAGCAAATGCACCGAATACTGACGACCCGCCAGTCTGCTCGGGCCCTCCTTGCTATCAGTGATTACTTTTCTCGCCTTCGGGCTCTTAGCTCCTTGTGGCTTGCCCGCCCAAGGGATTAACATTTTT